GAATGACCTTAAAATCCCTTATTTGTTCTCCCTGCTTTTCAGGAAAAATTCTTACATTTTTCACTTAACATGAGCCACAGAGTTGGGTATTATTAATAATATAAAAAGTCACAAGGTCTGAAAGTTCTATTAAAGATCTCTACCATCCTCCTTTGTGTGCCAAACAGACACGAACGTCAAAAGATAAAGTGTATTAAACAAAACAAAAGGCATGTCCTCCCCACCCCCCGCCACACAGGGCCTGTAGTCACTTCCGGAGTGTCCACTCAGCTCAGTTAATACATGTACAAACTTCAACAAATCAGCTACATGATATATTAGGATGTTAACCCCAAACATCCAAATTCTGTTGCTTAGTAACTGCTGTCAAAAGATCCAATTTCCAGCTCTGCTCTTTGTATGGACTAAACCATGAAAAGAGGAGGATTAGGCACCATGATTCTGTTCTGTGCAGACTACAATTTGCAGTGGGATTTACAGGAGGATATTCAAAGAAGATTATTTCTTTCTTACAAAGCTAGCGGAAAGGAAATTTTTTTTCCATTAATTTTCAGTCCTTTAAAAACAAGCCTATATTATGTTATTAATGGGTATAGTTTTATAAATCACTGATATTTTTACTTAATTCTGTTCAAACAATTTAGTCACATTAGATTGTTCTATTTCATCTCTGCATTGATTGTGTACTCAGAAAGCATCAAGATTAGGTAATTATTTAAAATCAAATTCTACTGCTTTGTTTATTTGTTTATTTAATGCCACTAATAGAACTAGTAAAATAGACTTTTTAAAAAACCATAGATGCAAAAATGGATAAGGAAATGAAAATTTTAAATTAGAATGAAGTTGGGGAAACAAACATAAATGAGGGAGAAGAGGAAGATCTCCAAATACTTCAAATATCTTAATGGAACATATGGTATCCCCCCAGAATGCAAGGGTAATGCCTCACACAGACTTTGGCAGTGCGGAGGAGTTTATCTATGGAGAAGGATTTATTAAGCAAATAAGAAAAGTACAAGGTGAATTTTAAATTAATTGAGAATAAACTACTTTCATATATATATATACATACACACACATATATTTTTTAAAAGATTTTATTTTTCATTTTTCTCCCCAAAGCCCCCAGTACATAGTTGTATATTTTTAGTTGTGGGTCCTTCTAGTTGTGGCATGAGGGACGCCACCTCAGCATGGCTTGATGAGTGGTGCCATGTCCTTGCCCAGGATCAGAACCTGTGAAACCCCGGGCCACTGAAGTGGAGCGTGCAAACTTAACCACTTGGCCACAGGGCCAACCCCATACTTTCATATACTTTAGCACTATCTATATGTGAACAAAAAGCAATAGCTTAATTACAATTAATTCTTAGATACTCATTAAAACAAGACTAATGACCCCTCCACTGACAAAAACTCTTACCTCATAGTTTAAGTAACAAAGTGGGCTATAAAGATATTCTATGAATTAACTATTCAGACCACCTCTCTTCAACAAAAATTAATGTTATAATATTTTTGAGTTTCATGAACTATTGCCATTACAAAATGTTTTGAAAATTCTTTAAAATCGAGCATTTAGTAGTCATTAAAATGTAGCTGAAGAAATAATTAAATACCCATCTTTTACCTATCAAACTGGCAAAAAATATTTTAATAATATCAAGGGTGGGTGAGAGTCCAAGGAAACCGACACTCTCAAATGATGGGTTCGCAAGCATAAATTGGTACAAGTCTCTCAAGAGGTGGGCTTTATAAAACATTAGTATTTTTACATAAGAGTTTTGATAGCAATATTTATTAAAATATTAATATTTTTACCTTAGCAACCCCAATTCTGAGAATTTATCCTGAGGAAATACCCAGAAATGTATGTACAATAATAATGATAAGTAAAAATAGCCATTACACAATATTTATTGAGCATATATTATATCCCAAGGCACTGTGTGATACTTTATATAAATTTTTATTTCATTTAATTCTCATAACAACCCTATGAGACTGCTATTAATATTATCTTCATTTTATAGATGAGAAAACAGAGGATTATAGGTTAAGTGACTGATCTGTGTGGTGGAGCTGGGATTCAAGTTCAGATCTATTTGAAACCTAAGCCTAAATTCTCCACCAGTAAAATATGATGCTACTCTAAGAAAAATCTAAAAAGAAAATGAGGGCAGTAATTCCCCTAGTTTGGGGGTTCTACAGAATATTATTTATAATTGTGAAGAAACCTGGAAACAACCTAAATGTTCAACAAGAAGAAAACGTTTAAATGGATATTATATAGCTATTAATTTAACATAACATTGAGATAAATTTTAATGACGCTGAAAAAAGTTCATAATATATTAAATGAAAAAAGCAGGTTTAAAACAGTATGTCGAATGTGATCCCCAACGCATAATGTGTGTGTATGTGTGTCTGAGTAGAGAAAAAAATCGAAGGACAAATATGAACTCCTTATTTTCTTCTATGTTCTTTTCTGTAGTTTCTAAATTATTTTTGTAATTAGGAAAAGCTACACTTTGGGGTGGATGGTGGGTGAGAAGCCTTTAAAAGGAAAGAAATGTCCTCTCCAGGACGATAAAAAATTATAAATTATTTATACTCTGAAAAAAAAAAAAGAAAATATCTTCTTCCCATCCTCATAGTAAAAATGAAGGGCAGAGAACAGTGGTGGGAGGTAGATGAGAACTGCTGAAGAATGGCATTTATATTCCACTTCCAAAAGCAACCTGGAAGACTTCGCACCTTTAGACTGGTTTGAACCCTCAGGCTTTTGTCAACCTATCATTAGGCAACAATGTGAAAAATATTTGCAGGGAAAGATTTTGCAATATTTCTAATATATTTCTAAGACAACTATGCTTCATTCTTTGTTCTGTACTTTAGTTACAGGGAATAATATTTTTTCCCCAAGGAAAACCAAAAAGTCTAATATGAATTTATTACATTGTTGAAGCAGAAAGAATTTTTGTAACTTTAAGGGTGCATGGATGATCCAGACAGTGAATCACGAATCGAAACAATTTTGAATAAGTTTGTACAGACATTTATTTTTATATTCCTTAGGGTTCTACTCATCTAAACTCTACCTTGAAAGGCTTCAACAATTTAAAGATTAAATCATAAGTTATTAAGCCATTAATTTAACCATTTAAGCCTCTAAAATCAGCACATATTACCTTCCCCCCTCAAGTCAATTTGCAAGAGATTAAAATAATAAAAATGATAATATCTCACACTTACAAAGCAGCTTTGATCTGCAGGAGACTAAACTAGTTTTTAAAACTTTATAGAAAAACTAGGACCATCCACCCACATCTCCGAGTACATCTGAGGTAGAAGCTGGCAGCTGGCGAAAAGCAGTGGAGTAATTTGCCATCTGCACAGAAGACTACTACTTTTGAACAAGTACAAGGAATAGATGGAGTTAGAAAAATGCAAACAGAACTGGCTGTTTAATTAAATGGTAAGTTCAATGGCCACAGATGCCAAGGGCTATTATTTAAATTTTCACCGGAGGAAGTGGCTTTAAGGATTCCCTTTAGAGGGCAAAAACCAAAGAATAGCAACCCCTACCTACTTTAGGGAAGTCACTGGTCCTAGAGATTCTGTCCAGATTTTCCTGGGAAGGACAGATACTACTGGTTTCACCTCAGACACAGAATGCACTGACTATGCTTTTTAAGTTCTTTTTGTGTCTCCTTCTCTTTCATACTCAATTTCAAAGATCCTTACACAGAATATTTATCGTGACGTCTCAGTGTGTAGGGCTGGAATCCTGCTCCACGCTCTGCGTCCTCCATCCATTTCAAGCACCCCACACAATTTTCTGCCACCTGCATAAGCAAGAGACTAACTTCTCAAAGATATTTTTTTAGAGTCTGCTTCTTTTTAAATATATTTTTCCTTTCAGTCTCTTCCCCAAAGAAAAACTGAAGTAATTCTATGCTACATCTTCAAAGTGAGGGCCCAGCTGGAAGGTAAAAGAGCACCTGAGCTGTCTTCACTAGGGAGCTCTCCAAATTCTCAAGATTCTCTCCCTGATTCTGATTTTCCCACATCTCTTTAACTCATAGTCACTTCTTATCTATAAAAGATCAAGCATGAAAAAAAGCATTGAAATAAAAGAAATTCTTCAATTAGATATACAAAATAATTTCTTCACTGTTTGGGAGTATAGAAAATTAGAGTATCAATGGCAATACTGCCTACTAAGTGAGCTGAACGGCCACTGGGATCAGGAGTCTTCATCATTGACTCTTGTTGTCGTTTAAAAAGCAGCCACCTACTATCCTAGATGCCTTACATGGCACTTGCTTCAACCTAAAGAGATGGACCAGATGATCTTGGAGTCCTGTCAGCTCTAGGAATCTATTCTACGTTGCTCTTTCAGCGATGGTTCAAAGCAGCCATATTGAGAAGGTGACAGATGGCACTTGGAGAAAGGAAGGAGGATGAGGACTGCACTAAGTCACCATTATCTAATACACCACATTCCTTTTGTAGGAGTTTTGGGGGATATCTTTCCAATGATATGCCTCTGTTCTTTCCCAAACTATACAGTCAACTTAACTGACCCCAAACAGTTTGACTCTGTACATTGATGAAAGAACTTAAAAAAAAAAAAAAATCCTAAATGAATTTGCTCCACTCTACTCAAACACTCTTAACTAAGACCCTTCTTTTAATCAAGTTGATACAAACTTAAGAAATGAAAACTAATTCTAATATGTACTAAACAAAGCATAATTTAGAAGATAAAGATAGTCTGATAAAAATGTATTACAAAGTCAAATATATCTGAAACAGTCACTGTTTCTCCCCAAATTGTGCGGATAATTTAGTTCCACTTGAGAAGAACATAGTTGCTATGGCTTGTGTGTGTGTTTATATATATACACATACAAAGATAGATAGATATGTACATGTGTACACACACACATCTAAGAGAGAGAAAATTAAAATGAAAGTAAAAATCTTGATACCTTCTTCATGGCCTGACACTTGGCTGTCTCAGAAAAGCCAATCATCTTATCAGGAGAACAGATCTTGATGAAGGGGAAGTTGGATTCCTCTGCAATCTTCGCAGCTAAAGCCGTCTTCCCACTGTGAGGAGGGCCTGCATAAAGACATGAGCAAGTCAGGGGAAAAAAGCCAACCTAAGCAAAGGGGAATAAAACAAGTTTAAACTTTCATCCACAATGTACTGAGGTTTCAACTAGTTGCTCATTAACATTTCCTGACACAATTTCATGCAGACGTGTTTTCTCTTATTTATTAGCAACTAAACTTAATGAACTGATTAGCATTTCTCAAAAGTATGATGAAATACATTCCTTCTTTCTTTCTCACACAGCCTTAATCTTTCAAACTTCTGGCTAAATATATAAAATGCAAGGGTTTTGCTTCTTAAAGAAAGAGAATGCATTCAAATGCATATCAGTACTTATATTATTAATTCCATCAAATCGTTTGTCTAACAAAAAAAATACAATCTTCTTAGATGATTTTGGGGGCAGGGAAAAACTGCCTTATAGAAGCAAGTGTGGCTTAAAAAGCTAGAATTCCTGGGGCTGGCCCGGTGGCGCAGTGGTTAAGTTCGCATGTTCTGCTTCTCGGCGGCCCGGGGTTCGCTGGTTTGGATCCCGGGTGCAGACATGGCACCGCTTGGCAAAAGCCATGCTGTGGTAGGTGTCCCACGTATAAAGTAGAGGAAGATGGCCATGGATGTTAGCTCAGGGCCAGTCTTCCTCAGCAAAAAGAGGAGGATTGGCAGCAGATGTTAGCTCAGGGCTGATCATCCTCAGCAAAAAGAGGAAGACTGGCAGCAGATGTTAGCTCAGGGCTGATCTTCCTCAAAAAATAAATAAATAAAAAAAGCTAGAATTCTAAAGACTCAAGCCTTCTCACAAAGGCAACCAAATCTAAAAACTTGTCTGTATTTAGACATCTCCTCCTTTTTTACTTCTGTGTAATGGAAGATGTGACCTCTTCCATCCATAAACCAACCAATTCTTCCTTCCCATCTTCTCAGGAACCTGACATTATTGATTGTACCCCTCCCCTATATGTTCCATCTCTTCCTCTTTCTTGAAGGCTTTCTTACAGCATTTAACCATACTCTAGTCTACCTGACAGGTTAATAAACAAAACAAAAAAAACTCCTGGATTTCACACCCCTCAACACTACTCTTTCCTCTCCCTTCAAAATGGAACTTCCCTAAATAATATGCTGGCTGCCTTCACTCTTTCCATCCGTCTTCAAACAAACCCCATGGCTTCCATTCCCATTTGATGGAACAGGCTCCTCACAGGGTCACCAATGACCTCCATGTCACCAAATCCAACACACACTGTATCTGTTGGCCTCTTAGGGATATCTGATACAACTGGTAGCCTTCCTCTTCCTTTAAATACTTTTCTTTTCTTGGCTTCTGAGGTAGCACATTCTCTTTTCTCCTTCTTACCTCTCTGGTTACTGTTGCTCAGTCTCCTTCATCAACTCTTCCTGCTCTACTTCGTCCTTAAATGTTAACACACCTCAGAGATCAGCTCTAGGCCTCCTTTTCTTCTCAACCTACCACCTTTTTGTAAGTGACTCCTCCACTCCCAGGAATTCAGCAACAGTCTATATACTGACAACTCATAAATGGCTATTGCCAGCCAGACCTCTCTTCTGAGCAACAGACCCACATGACCAATGGGCTACTCAACATTTCCATCCAATTATCCTATAGGAACCCTGAACTCAACATGTCCAAAAGTGATCTCATGATCTTGCTTCCCGAAATCTGCTTAACCACTAGTATTCCCAATCTTAGTTAGTAGAAACCTGGGGATCATGTTTGATACCTCTTCCCATACTCAATCTAGTTACTTAATATTTCTAAGCTTCAGCTTCCCCATCTACAAAACAGGGATAACAGCAGCATCTACCCTCACTGGATTGAAGTGGGTTTTAAATGAGATAATATGTGTAGAGTGTTAGTAGAGTGACTGGCAAAAGTAAGAGTTCAAAGAATGTTAGCTTAATTATGTTTAGTAATTAATAATAATTTTAAAGTCTCTTTTACTCTACCTCCTAAACATTTCTCAAAATGGTCTACTTATTTTCATCTCCACTCCCACTATGTTACTTCAAATCAAAATTAGCTCTCACCAAGACTAATGCAACTGCTTCTAACCATTGGTCTCTCCCGTATCTTTTTTGCCTCTTCAGTCCCATCTCTATCACAAAGCAGTCATGATGTTTTGAAAATACAAATCTGATCACGTCACTTCACTGCTTAAAACCCTACAAATGGCTTCCCATTGCTCCTCAGACAGAGTCTAAATCCTTAACATGGTCTACAAGGCTTTGCATGAACTGACTCTTGTCCACTTCTTCAGTCTCAGGTCTAGCCAATCTCCCTTTCTGTTTCAATATCCTTCCTGCCCAGGGCTTTTTCACATGTTGGTCCGTCTTTCCCAGTTACTTTGCCTGGACAGCTTCTCCTCATCCTTTGGGTCTTGGCTTAATGTGTTTCTCTCAGGGAGCCCTCATCCCCAGACCTTTGGAAGGGGTGGGATTCCCTTGTCATGTGGACCCACTGTACTCTTCTGTTGTTGTACTAATCATAATTGTAAATAATAATTTGTGAATAGAATGTTCTTCCCTTTTAGTTTATTTGGTAAAATCCTAACTGATCCTTCAAAGTCTCAATTAAACACCTCCTCCAGCTTTCCTTGATCACCCCCAGATTTGCATTCACACACACCTCCACACACATACACCATAGTTAGGAATTTGTTTACATATCTTTTTTCAAAACCAGATTGAACTCTGTGAATGTCTTTGTATTCTCAGCAACTAGTTCAATGCCTAAAACATAGTAAGTACTCAGTGAATATTTATTTAATGGAATCGAGTACTATGTATGTGGTATCATTCAGTCTACTAAGTAACACAGAAATTTAGATAACAATCCTATAAGAAAACTAGTTGCTGTTAGTTATCAGTAACATTTTACCCCAGGAAAATTTTAATTTGTGCACAATATTGGTGTGTAAACTGGATTACTATTTTCAGATCATGAACAGGTTTAGAACAGAAAATAATTCATGTTTTTGGAATGTGCTAAATGGCTTTATAAAAGTGCTGCTTTTTTTTTTAAAGATTTTATTTTTTCCTTTTTCTCCCCAAAGCCCCCCAGTACATAGTTGTATATTCTTCGCTGTGGGTCCTTCTAGTTGTGGCATGTGGGACGCTGCCTCAGCGTGGTTTGATGAGCAGTGTCATGTCCGCACCCAGGATTCGAACCAACGAAACACTGGGCCGCCTGCAGCGGAGCGCACGAACTTAACCACTCAGCCACGGAGCCAGGCCCCAAAAGTGCTGCTTTTTTAAAAAACTTTTAATGCCATCTTGTCATTCTTTCTCACCTTCCAAAAGGACGCTAACCAATGGAGTACGGTCACTGTTTTTAGTCTGCTGAACCAGCAGCTCCCCATCGTCTAGAACTCGAGTAACTGGATCACCCCATTTGATGATACCATTCATAATGTAACTTGCATAATCCTCTTGGTTTGTGCCAAATGCCTATGGAGGAAAAGGATAGTTTAAAGCATTTCGAGCATTACTTTTAAAAACTAAAATATTTAAAGATATAAAAGATGAGTAATAATTCCTACAGGCTAAAAGTGTAATATCCCATATTAATGTAAAAAGCCTGACAAGCCAAAAATAAAAGCTGTTTTACAATTTCTCATTTAACTTTTTACCCACTGGGGGTGGGGGCTGCTTTGGGTGACTTAATGGAATAAAGCAATAGATTCTAGGCTCAGATTCTACTAAAGGCCAAGCCCTTGTAATCCCTGAGAAAGGGTAGGTTCCAATGTGCTTGTTTCTGTAAACAGTAAGCAGGTTGTGGTCCTCTGTTAAGCACAAAGAGAAAAAGAGATTACGGATTTAGAAATTAGAAACAGTTGGCTCAGCAGACAAAGATACTGTTCTAACACTGACTGTACGTGTCATGGATTAAAATGGGAATATGAAATGGTAATGAGGAAATCTTGGTATGGTATCTTGAAATGGTAATGAGGAGGTCTACATCAGCTTGGTGGTAGGTTTGAAATGGCACCAAAAACATTAAGTAAATAAGTGGCACCAAGGTGAGCATATATGTGTAAATACAAGATTTAGAATGAGGTAGAAATGAGCAGCTGTAATAAAAGATTTAAGGGTTAGAAAAAGGAAATAAAAGCAATTATTATATATAATAATTTTATTTGTGCTCACTATATATTGGAGCTTAAATCACATCCCTCTTAATTTTCAACTTCTAATCTTAAATTGTAACTCCCAACAAACCAGCTGCTAAAAGTAGTCAGTAACGTTAGTACTTAGTTACTTAACTGAATTGTATTTTCATAAGGTTTACAGGAGAATAAATGAGTAGGAAAATACAACCCAATGTAACATAGCAGTCACATATCTTGAGAATTTCAAACTTTTAAAAATTATCACATCCCTCAAAAAGTCAATTTTTCATTACGTGACATATGGAATAACTGTAACAGTTCTCTAGAAGCTGCACCTCACAGAAAGTCATTCTTTGTAATACTTTCTCTAAACAGTATACAGTGGTCTCACTACTCTATTACTTTGCCACCAAATCATTTTTCAGACCACTCTCTGGTCCTTCCATACATTAGTCCTTTGATTCTTGAGTACAGAGGAAAGTCCTATTCCCTGGTCTGGATATGGTAAATTCAGTGGTCCTGTAAAAAGTTATAAAGGAGGAGCCTAATAAATACTGGTTGAATGGCTGTTGTAGGAAATATGTAGATTGGCTGGCTTTTGTCTTTAATTATTTCAGGTATACACTCTAAGCCTCACAGCAGCAGCTTTAAGATGCCTGAACCAGGAAACAGTGACCCTACCAGGCTACACAATATGTATGAATCTTCCCTATTTATCCTGTCATTTCATTTTTAGACCCTTGGAATAAATAAAATAAGTTATTACTTACTTAAGTTATTTTAGTTTCCCCTTCCTCGAAGCCAAATTATTATTTATTTACTTGATTTAATTTTTTTGAGGTAACATGGATTTATAATATTATATAAATTTCAGGCGTACACCACTGTATTTCGACTTCTGTGTAAACTATATTGTGTTCACCAGCAAAAGTCTAGTTTCCATCTGTCACCATATGTAGCCCTGTACCCCTTTCACCCTCCCTCTACCCCTTTCCTCTCTGGTAACCACCAATCTGTCTCTGTATCTATGTGTTTATTTGTTGTTGTTATTTATCTTCTACATATGAATGAAATTACATGGCATTTGTCTTTCTCTGACTTATTTTGCTGAGCATAATACCCTCAAGGTCTATCCATATTGTCTCAAATTATTTGTCATTAGAAAATCTTGGAATAGATCAGTTAGACTGGGCTCTAATATTTTGGTAACTCTTACAAATGACAACAGCAAAAGATTAAACCATTTCCATTTGAAAGTAACTATTCTATATTTCAAAGTCACAATAGTCATAAAGCAGGGCTAAAACAAATCGATTTTTGTCTTTAAAGGAGATACTGGCAACAAATAATTATTGTCAAGAATATATATAGAACTTATACATATCAAATAAAAATAAAGAATAAACAATACAACAGAAAAACAGGCAAGAGACATGAACAGCATTTCAGAGGACACTCATATGGCCATTAAGCATATGGAAAAAAGCTTAACTTCATAAGTAATCAGTGAAATGCAAATCCAGACCAAAATGAGATCCCATTTTACATCCAACTTAAGGGGAAAAATTAAGTCTAACAATAAGTGTCAGTTCTAGAGGACGCAGAGTAACAGGATCTCTTTTACATTTGGGGACAGTGTTTATTGATTCAACACTGGGAAAGCAGTTTGAAATTCTTCAGTCTGAAGCTGGACATTCATATACCCAACAACTCAGCAATTTTATTCCTAAATATATATCTAAGAGAAACTCGTTCAAGAATGTTTATAGCAGCATTTATTTGTAATAACAAAAAACTGGTAACATTCCAAATGCCCAATGATAGGAAAATAGATAAATTGTGGTAGTCACACAATGGAATGCTACTAAGCAATGAAAATGAAAGATGTACAGCTACAGGAAATCATTTGGATGACTCGGTAATAAAATATGTAATAAAATAGCAAGTCCCAGAAAATTACATACACCATATCTTATTCTAGACACCATGTGGACTAATGACAACAGTGTGTCAAGAACTGAAGATTAAGATTAATCCAATTCTGTACACCCGAGGTCCATTTAGGAAAGAAAAACAAACATACACAGCTCTTTAAGAGGCCTTTCTACAATTTGTTTTTGTACTGATATAGGACTCCAAACAATGGTTACTCAAACATTAGTGGTTGTTTTTATAGGAAAATGGGTTAATGAATGTAAACTGTATTCTAAAGTTCCAACTATGACTGTTGAGGTTTGAGTACATTTTAAGAAAACTGACATCTTTTTCTTAAAGGCCACCTAGGATTGTGAAGAGTCTTAGAAATTATAGCAGTTAGAAGAACTAGAGGTATTGAGAAAGAAAAAGGCATGCTGTAGAAGTGGTTGAGGAAAGAAAGAGAGAAATGAGAGTTAACTTTAAATATCATAATAACTAACATATGGAGGATGGATGAATTAGAATGAATTTAGGTTTCCATAGCTTCAGACTGTATAAGAACTAATGAGAAAACTAATTCGAGTTCAATATAAAGAACTAATAATTAGAAAGTCTCAAAATTGAATGGTCTGCCTTATAAGATGGTGACTTTCCTATCATGAGAAATATTTCAGTAAGTATTGGTTAGTTACTGCCATCAGAGTTACTGTACAGATGTTTCTTATATTGGACACTTCCAATACTGAGATTTTCTGATTTTTTAAAACTACATATGATATAACCTTCCATAATACTAGGTAAGATGGCACTTATTTTTCTCCTGAATTATTATTGGTTTTTTGGCTTATACATCACTCAATATTCATACTCACTGGCTTGATATCATTCTCCAAAGAAGCAAGGAAGTCTCCTCTTGTCACCTGCAGGCTCTCTGCTTTCTCCATGTCCACTTCCACTTTAGTACTGGCCTAATTAGAAATGAAAACAAAATGTAAGGACTTCCAAGATTTAAGCATATCTTCAGCCGAGGAAATAACACCTGAAGACTTAAAAAGCATAATTTTGCAGACAAAAAACATCTCTCCCAAATTCACAAACATATATTCTCTTTGCCTGAACGACTGCACTTCTATGAACTTATCCCATAAATATATTCACAAATGTACGCAAAGTTACATGTACCAGGATATTGGAATAGCAAAAGACTGGAAGCAAATTAAATGTCCAGCAAGAGAGTACCACTTAAGTAAATTATGACACATCTGTACCAAAGAACATTGGACGGCCATTTTTTCAAAATGAGGCAAAAGGAGGAGAAAATACATGCAGACGGTCTCTTAAGAACAGTGGTTCTCATCCTTGGCTGCACATCAGAATATCCTCTCGAGCCTTTAGAGCTTATTTAGGTGCCCAGCCCCACTCCCTTCAGGATTTTGATATAACAAGTCCAGCAGAGGGTCCGGACACTTATATTTTTATAAAACGCTGCAGGTAATTCTGATGCTCCATCAGGTTCGAGGACCATTACTCTAGGAGAATAAGGATCTAAAACTTTCACTTGTATTCATACTTTGTACTTGAGAATCGATGTGCCAGCTGCAAATATTCTGCTACTGCACCTGGCGCTAACACTCAGAACAGACATCTGGAGAAGCATCAAGGCTTTTATCAGCACTTGGAGCTGCCTGGACCTGATGAGTGATTGAAACACCAACACATTTTTTAATGCGAGTGGGCTCTCTCCCAATACCATAAGGCAAGTGAGTCTAATTTTTAAAATGGTACTTTAGTTTCCTAAAAAGTAGCTTAAAAAAATCTGACTACAAAACAAAAGTATGTTAAGCAATATCAACCTTCCATCGATTATTATAAAACATGAGTCATGTTCCTTTAGGAACAGACTGCTGAGACAAACAAAATAGACATTTTTTTAAAAGTCAGCCTTATGGGATAAAAATAACTGTGTCAGGAAACTGGATCAAGATGGCAAACAGAACACATTTATTTATCTTCCTTCCTGTCCCAAATTTCAAGAAATGACAGAAAGTGAGAGAGAAAAGTTAAAAAGCATGGAAGATATATCCAGAAGTTTTAACACTGATCTAAGAGGAGTCTCAGAAGGAGAAAAGAGAAAGAATGATAAAGAAAAAACAATAAGACAGAAGAAAAAAATTTTTCCACTGCTAAAGAAAGGTATGTCTTTGCAGTTTAAAGTGTTCAATGAATGCCAATGAGGCTAAATGAAAAGAAACCCACATCTGTCTAGACACACTGTTGTAAACTTTCTGAGCACCAAAGATAAAGAGAAAGTCCAAGAATATTTTTGAGAGACAAAAACAGGTTACCCTGCAAAGGAACCAGAGGAAATCTGGCATGGTACCTCTCATGATAACACTAGAAACTAGAAGACAGACGTAACCATGTCTTCAAAAATACATCTGGCTATTTCTACCCTAGAAAATGATTCTCATATGTACACAGGGAGCACAGGCGAGCATTTTCCTAACAGTATTATGCACTGTTCTAGGCGCTAGAGACATACCTGCAAGTAAAACAAAGTTCCTGCCCTTATGGATCTCACATTTTAAATTATGTTGTAATATTCTAGAATACTATGCATTTGTCCAAAATAGTGAAGACTTAAATATACTAATATGGAAAACTATCCAAGACAAATTGTCAAGGGAAAAATATAAATTGCAGTACAATTCCATTGATGTTTTTGTTTTTTAAAGCACATATGTATATGAATGAAAATGTGAAGGAAACAGACTATAAAGGTATATCCCAACTGCTGGTGACCTCTGGAGAGGGAAAGGCAAAGGGTGTCAGCAAAGGTCTTTCCCACTTTTCCCAATATACTTTAGAATCCTTGAGTCTTCTACAAAGAGAATGTGTTCATGTATGATTTCTATATTTTTAAAAAGAAAGTTAACAAGTAACATTTAAATAGACAAAATATTCTACCTACATAAAGAGACAATTAGCATTTAAATTCTTAATAGGGTTTTCATTGGCACATATTAGCCATTCAATAAATATTAATCACATGTATTTGACATTTCTAAGTAAAAAAAAAAAAAAAAAAGGAAATGGTGTTACAGGAAACACACAAACTCCACGAAAGAATTATGATGCTCTGTTCTTAATATATAAATTTCTACAGTGCTTTGCAGTTTATAAAGTATGTTTATATATATTAGCTCCTTTTATCATACCCATTATCAATCACTTTATCTGTATATAAGCCTGGAAGTTTTTTTAAATTAAGAATAAGGGTAATTTAATTAAGGGTAGATATACGATTTAGTTTTCCAGGTAATCTTATATAAAGATTTTAAAGTCTGATTAAAACTTTTTGACACATCTAAAAGGTGTAAACTCTCAGGTGAAAGTGAAGTGAGCTCTGACAGAATCATACTAAAACCCCAATGAAGCTACCTGCCTCACCTCTCTATACAGCCCTAAGCTTTTACTATAACTTTTTTTGTATTTTGATTTCCTCTTATAGTGAAACTGAAATCAAATGATAAAAACATATAGCAATATGAAGGGAAAATCTTGTCTATATTTCAGTGTTTGCCAAAAAATATGACAGATTTCAGGACTGAAGCTGGTGTGAAACTTGTCTTTTTACTATCAGGAAAGGACTCATTCAATGAATTAAAAGTGAATTATGATGGGGGCTGGCCCTGTGGCCGAGTGGTTAAGTTCGCGCGCTCCGCTGCAGGTGGCCCAGTGTTTCGTTGGTTCGAATCCTGGGCGCGGACATGGCACTGCTCGTCAGACCACACTGAGGCAGCGTCCCACATGCCACAACTAGAAGGGCCCACAACGAAGAGTGTGCAACTATGTACTGGGGGGCTTTGGGGAGAAAAAGGAAAAAAATAAGATCTTTAAAAAAAAAAAAGTGAATTATGATGGCTGGGGGAGAGTTATTTTACAATAAATTGATTTTAGGCACTCCAGGAATTTTAGAAATTACCTAATTATAAACAATCAATATTACAATTGTAAATTATTCCTGTCTATTCATTAAAATATGTTTTCTAAGGACTTCTCTTAACTTTTTACTATTTTATCAAAATCATAAAATCTTAAAAAATCTACACTTCTCAATTTTTGCTCATTCAGAAACCTTTTCTCATTTGTCTGAATTAGTGCAATTTTTTTTTTCATTTTATTTATAATGGCTAATCAATATAGAAGAGGCAACATCTTTCACCTTATACCTGCAGAAACTAATAAACTTGTATTTCAACACCAGCAAATATCAAGTGGTCACCCTTAAATTTCATAACCTTTTAAATCTGACCTTTCAAAGTTCTTATCATTCCTCTTAAATTAAGGGTAGAATGACTTTAATCAATCAAAATTCTATACAAATAAGAAATAATTTTATTGAAATTCTGCAAACATAAATCAGAGCTTTGATTCAGCTGTCAAGTATTTGTGTGTGGGTCCTCAATTTATTTCCTTATAATAGGTTAGAGTAGAAGAAATTTGGGTTATGAATCTTCTCTACCTGAAGCAGAAATTCCTTTCAAGATAAAAACAACCAAATGTCACATGAATTTTAGTTGACCACAAACATGGGCTCAAGTACAAATGACATGAACATCAGGTGTTTATGACTGGATTTTTCCACTTGTCTCAGAAAACCTGAAAAAACAGTTTCACAGGGAAGACTAGTTTAGTCCACTGGACTCTGTTTAAGCCTACGTCTTTTAAAAAGGAAGCAAAATAACACTAATAGTGGCTTTTTATAATACAAAGAAAGAGCATCATAACAAACAGTTGAATGTTGGGTATGTTATAAGTTCCTTAAAAATTTTAAATCTTAAGTTTCAAATTACATACTTATTCATCAATCTCTACTACTAAAACTATGAACATCTACAGCAATGGGAACTCTAAAACTGTATGCCTTTTGTTCACCGGATGAGGAGTCTTGCTGGGAAAAGAGTGTTTAAAGACCTCATGACAGGGGCTGGCCCGGTGGCTGAGTGGTTAAGTTCGCGCGCTCCGCTGCAGGTGGCCCAGTGTTTCGTCGGTTCGAATCCTGGGCGCGGACATGGCACTGCTCACCAAACCACGCTGAGGCAGAGTCCCACATGCCACAACTAGAGGAACCCACAACGAAGAATACACAACTATGTACCGGGGGGCTTTGGGGAGAAAAAGGAAAAAATAATAAAAAATCTTTAAAAAAAAAGTTAGTGATCAACTAACTACATTTTAAAGACCTCCTGACAATGCAGTTTTTAAAAATGCAGAAAAGGAAATAAATGTTAGTACTATTTCTTTTTGGGGGGTGAAGCTAGTTTCTTAGACATCTTTCCTTTATATGTACAGAGTCCCTTGCATTAGGTATTCCACAGATACTGTAAAAAATAAAGTTATTTGGTATAAAAGGAGTTGATCACAAGTCAATATGCATCACCTGAAGTTTAAATTAAAGATAATTCAACCACACGGAAAAAGTGAGGAAAATAATGTCCACTATTTGCACTACTTCTTACTTGCAAATTTGAAAGATAATATATTCTGCACAGTGGTAATTAATATTTTAGCTTTATAATTAAAAAAATTATAACTGCAAATAGTCAGCAAAGGTCAGAAACTGAAAAGTCAGATGTTGAAAAGGATGTCTATGGTATCCTCTCAAATCAGCCAATAATAACAAAAATGGAAATGACTAACATTTATATAGTTTGTAAGGCACTTCCACGTACAGTATTTGATTTCATTTTCACAAAAACCTGATGAAATAGGTAGTTATTTCCCCTTGACAGATCAGAAACAAAAAAGTGAAATAACTGTAATGCATAACCACCCTTTGTGACTATAAAATCCATGATCTTTCCACCATTCCTCACTGCCTCATGTGTAGATAAACCCAATACATGCTTAAAGAAAGCAGGTTTCTTAGTGAGACAATGGCTTAGAGGCATTTTGGGATAAGATTATGGTGGTAAAGATGACAAATGACTAAATAAGAGAAAAATCTGGTGGCTAATGCATTTGAAAAATCTGATAACTAATAAACTTTTGTGGATTATATCAAGAGCACTGATGTGGTCTGAAGTGAAAGATTAGGATGGTGGGGAGCAATTTTCACACCATTTACACAATTTCTTTTTTGAAGTCGCCATCACTTCTTACTAAGACATTTCTCATGGCAAGGAGAAAGAATGAATGAATGAAATGAGTGGATCCATTCTCTAAAGCATCCAATACTATATTCTCATACTACCCAGATCTTTGGCATTCTTTTTTTTTTATGCAGCAGTACTAGTAGCCTCCTCCCACTGGGTATCCAGTATTTTAAAGAGGTTTTTCTTACCACACTGTCCAAAGTGGCTTCCTCCAGTATGGCACTTTTGAGCTAGAACAAAGTCACTTCTAGTATGTAGGGAAATTATGACCTATGAATACAGTTTGATTCAGAAACGTCTATCAGTTTACTAATTTAAAAAATATTCACTAACCATCTACCATGTTCTCAGCATTTAGACTTATTTGAGATACTGTGGGAGATTCAGAGATGAATAAGACACAGACTTAAAGGCTACAACAGGGGTTGACTAACTTTTTCTCTGAAGGGCCAGACAGTAAATATTTAGGCTTTGTGGGTCATGTAGCAGGCTCTGCAAATATACTCAACTCTGCCACTGTAGCACGAAAGAAGCCATTGACAACATGTAAATGAATGGGTGCGGTTGTGTTCCAAAAATAAATTTATAAAAATAAAAGTAAAATAAAAAAATAAAATAAATAAATAATAAAGTAAATAAATTCATGGGGTAGAGCAGCTCTTGGTTTAGACTCTTGACTCTTGGTTTAGAGCCACTGATAGGAGGTACCCAAACAACTAGGACATACTCAACCTAACGGTTCAGCTTTTATTATTTCCTGCACGACTTGTTATACTACACGAACTGTTGTATCCCCTCTCTTGCGTCGCCAGCTCCACTCCCCTAAATACTCCACTCGATACAGCTGCCAGAGCGAGCTTATGTTTTAACACTGTCGCTGCTATTCTTAAAACTCTTCAATGGCTTAGCACTACTCACAGAAAAGAAGTCCATACTTCTTCAAACAGTATAAAAGCCTCTTTGTGTTCCATCCCCCTTTAGTCTCCTGACTTATCCCCCACAATGTCTCTCTCTACCTCCCCTCCCCTACCTTTTATGTTGAAGCAATACTGAATACCCTAACACACCATGCTATTCTGTGTCTGTGTTCCTTAGCGTATGTTTTTCCTTCTACTTAAAATGCCCTACCGTACCAAGAGGTACATCTACCCAGAAATTCCCCTGTTTGTCTCTGCTGACAAGCTGACCACATCCGACACATTTTCACTTCCTTACCTTGCATATACTTTCTATGACTGCATGTGGAGGATTAGACTGCGAGCTGCTCAAGGACAGGCAATTGACTCCTTTGCAGTTGTAGCATTAACCGCTAGCATAGTGTCTGGCATATAGTAAGTGCTAAATAAATACATTTGGAACCAAAGTCAACTGAAGGTATCATAAATGATACTTTACCATTTCAAGGAGAAAGAGAACACATCATTCTCAAACGGGAGAATCAGAAAAAGTTTGAAGAAAGTAGCAGCATATGAACCAGATATTGAAAAGATATGTAAACACAGAGAGTAAAGGCTCTCAGTGAAGTGCGGGAAAAAAAGAAGCAACAGCAGAGAAGTGAAAAAATAAGCTAATATCTGATGACCGGTGACTATTTCACTTTGGCTAAAGTGTATGGAGCACAATCGGGAACACATCTTGAAAGGCCAGTTTACAGTAAGATCAAAGAGGACCTTAAAGACCAGGCTAAGAAGTTTATACTTTGTTCTGTAGACAATGGTGAGTCACTGAAAGTTTCTTAAGGGTAGAATGGTATGAAACAGGAAGACTGATCAAACAGAAGGTAGGTAATGGCAATGAGAAATGAAAGATACTACCAACACAGAACAGGCAAAATTTGGCAAATGACTTGATGTAGGACACAGCAGAGTGGTAGGAATCAAAGAGAATCCTGAAATTTTAAGCCTGGGAAATTGGGATAAACAAGGAGATAGGAGCAGGAAGGAAACGGGGGGGAAAAAAGACAGAAAGAAATAGCAAGTTTTGTTTTGGAATATTAAATCCGAGACCCGATAAAACATCCAGGTGGAGGTGTTTAGTATACATCTGAAAGTGGGAGAAAGATGCTCTCAAGAGATGAGATGGGGGCCGGCCCTGTGGCCGAGTGGTTGCGTTCTCGCGCTCCACTTCCGTGGCCCAGGGTTTCGCCAGTTTGGATCCTGGGCGTGGACATGGCACTGCTCATCCAGTCACACTGAGGCGGCGTCCCACATACCACATCTAGAAGGACTCACAACTGAAAACATACAACTACGTACCGGGGGGCTTTGGGGAGAAAAAGGAAAAATAAAATCTTAAAAAAAAAAAAAAAAAGATGAGACAAATTTCTGGGAGTCATCTATCTACGGGTGAAACCTGAAGAGAAGAAGGAATGGTAAAGGGTCAAATGCACTTTATCAAGCTTTATTTACCAAAATAAAAGTATCCTGGTATGTATTTCTACCACAGTATCAATCACATTATTGTACTAATTTGCAAACATGTCCATTTCCCTGACTCTGAATTCCTTGAAGGAAGAGGTCTGTTTTATTATCTTTGTGTCTCCAGCTTAATACCTCGAAAACAGCAGGTATTTTTGCTGAATGAAGCAGCCCCCATAGTTCTAGCATGTAGAAAATCCAACTTTCTATAACATGTTACAACTCCACACGATAAGACTTAAGAAAATTCTGCAAAATCTTCATCTTCACATGTCTGTTATCAGATGGTGGCAACTTAAGGTAGATGTGTCAGAGGTTACCATGGGGCAGATGACACCATTACCTTTTTTCTGGTTACTCTGAAGCTTTAGCAGTTGACAGTTAAATTCCTATTTCTTTTACCACGTCTCTTCGTCAAAAGTTAGCATTACCCTAGCCCTTGGTATGCTTGAATGGGAAGAGAAAGAATACTGGCAGAGATTTACAGGGCTGCAGACTCCTCATCTGTTGGTTGCTCTTACTGACCTTTATGTGTCTGTTCATAGCAGTGGACTGTGCTGCTCGCACCAGACCCTCCAGTTCAGCACCGCTGAAATTCTTGGTCTCTACAGCCAGCTCTTTAATGTCTACGTCAGCAGAGAGTAACTGATGCCCTCTCATCCTTGCTGTGTGGATGTGAAGGATCTGTAGTCGGCCTTTCTCATCTGGTAAGCCTGATAAAATTGAAAATAAAATGGAGATTATTCTAATCCTAATGCTTCTCTTATAGGTACTGAAGCACGTAAACATCTGCGTCTCATGATATACAACTTTTCTAACAACATTAAGTTATATGACTTTGCTCCTGCTAATCAACTCTAAACATGCCCCCGCGCCCCCTCAGTGACAGATCTGCTTACCTATCTCCATTTTAACTTCCAGTCTTCCAGGTCGAAGGAGAGCCTCATCTATCAGATCTGGTCTGTTGGTCATTCCTGAGCATGGATGTTAAACCAAAACAACATACCAATGATCAGAGTTCAAAAATAACATAAAATGTCCCTTAAGTATATGTAAGAATAGTAATTTCCCTGATAAGCTAAGAGGACATTTTATAAAAGTCAATAGAAACGGAAATAGAAAAGTCAATAGAAAACCAATTATTCTCAAATAAAAACAACATTTGTTCTTTTTTTTGTTTCTACATGGGACTTGATCATTTTTTTTATTAATTCATTTTTTTCAGATGCACATCATAATATATTTCGAATTCTGTTGGATTGCATCATGTTCACCACCTCCCCTCACGTGTGAGCCTAATCATCACTTTTGCCCACCTTCCTCCCCCACATCATTCGTTCTTGATCTGTTCTAACGAGAATACCTAGAGACTTTGCTTTAGAATTTCACTACTGTACAAGCCAATGAAACATAAATGTAATGCAAACTTCAAGTATTTAAAAAGAAGATTTAAGGTTCAGAGAGGGTAGGTAACCTGTCAAAGCGAGAGAGAGGCAATGTGAACATGATCTGTCTGATCCCAAAGCCCCTTCCCTTTCTCGTAGGCCAATGGTTTTCAACCTTCACAGACACAAGAAGTTTCATGTTTTTTTTTTTTCAAAAGCCATGTTAAGAAAAGCTCAGTACATAAAACAGCTAAAAGAAGAAGTTATAATCGGATGCGTGATCTGAAGCTCACTCCCCGGCCCTCAGAGACCCTGGAGGCCTACAGGACCAGACTGAAAACCACGCATCACATTGTGCTGCCTTTTCATCTGTGAGCTATAAGCTTAAAGCCATAGTCACTAAAACCCATCTTCTATTTGTTCTATTAAGGTTAGACGTTAAAATAGTCAAACTCTTTAATATCACTTGATTCTAATTTGGAAACATTGGCAAAATAGTGTAACTACAACCTACATAGATCTTAATTCAGAACCTCTGTGTCTAATGTTCTTGAAATCATAGTAATTTTCTTAAAGCAAACATACCAATGACTAAGATGTTGTTCAGCTGCTCTACCCCATCAATTTTGGACAGTAACTGGTTGACGACAGTGTCATGAACTCCTGTGCTACCAGCCATGCTCCCTCTCTGCTTGCAGATGGCATCAATTTCATCAAAGATGATGATGTGCAAACCACTGTTCGCACCAAGCTAATAAGGGAAAAAATTATATTAAAGGTCATAATTTGAATATATTATTAAACAAACTAATCAAAAAAGCAAAACAAAGCTTTCCACAGATTGACTTTGCTCCATTTTGACTAATAAATATATCAAGTATAACCACAGTTGTTGCCCTCTCAAAGGTGTTGGAACTGCATTCTCAGAATTCTGGAAACTGAAAAGGCATTCCAGAACCTCATATCTAATAACCATAAAACAAAAATACATGTTATGTGCTGATGAAAGTGAAGAGGCCATCAAATAACTAACTGTTCATTTACATACATTTCTTATTTCACTATTTGAAAGAACTCTTGCACTTATCAGATCCATTTCTTAAGTCAGTGAATGGCAACTCCCTCCCATTTTCCCTGAGTTTTGGTGAAAGGACTGCCCTAGAATCAGTAGGTTTAACATTTGTTTGTCATATTATACAGCTAAATGGTAAGTCCATCCAGAGATCAACTGGGAATTGGGCAAATGCGGGAAGGAAATGAATCTGATTCATATTTAGTTATATCATATGGAAAGATTACTTCTTAACAGTAAAGTGAGAACAGAGAGACAGTTTATAAAAAGAACACAGTGGAGGGGGTGCTGTTTCTTCTGCCTCATGATTTCTGTTTTAGTTTATTGGATATAGAGTCATCATTAAAAGAAATTAGTTTACATATTTTGAACCTTTAATAGAGGCAAATACTTTTAAAGGCTAATAATTCACTAGGTTAAGTTAACATGGACCTTCTAACAATTTAGATAATGAAGTCTCTTCTTAGGAACCAAAGGGGGAAGTGCACTCTATAAATTTTCTTTTTTATTAATAACAAAGAACATTAGGGATTTACAAAACAAAACAGGTGAAAATGAACATAACCTAAGTATGACAACATACGGATAAATGATGGGCATAGTGAGATTCAAGATTATATATGGTTGGTATTCATTAAAACTCTGGCAAGGATATAATCTTTTTTTTAAAAGAGTCTTTTTTTTTCACTTTATTATAAAAGTATTACATGTTTACTGAGCAAAAGTTGTAAAACAAATAGAAATAAGCCAAAAATGTATTATACTCCATAAAGATAAATGCTGTTAATATTCTGCAGATTTATTTCTGTACTTTTAATTTATTTTACTTAAAAAACTCTCCACATCTTATATTCTCTTGAACACTGTTATTTGAAAACAATTTAAAATTATTTTCGTTTCTAATTACAAAATACATGATCATTAGAGAAAATTTGGAAAAATACCAAAAAACGTAAAGAAATCAGTCACCCAAAATTCAACTATCTAGAAACAACTAATATTATTAACTCGATGCTATCTAAATAGCTTGTATCCTCTTGTTCAGTCCAGATATTATCTTAAATGCTTTCCCATGCCTATAAATACAACTATACACTACGGTTTTTAATGGCTCCATAATACCTCGTGTGACTGATTTCACAGTTTAACTCCCCTACTGCACATCAATTCCTTACTTTCAAATATTCACGAATGTCTAAGTTTTTAGTATTATATATGTTGTTGCAACGAACATTTTTATACTCAAATCCTTGACAATATATATGATTACCTCCTGAAGGCAAATTGTTAGGTTAAAAGGTATGTTGAGTATTTTAAGGCCCTTGAAATAAGCTGTCAAATACTTTTCCAGAAAGGTTTTATACTTTATTTCTCACCACAGTATATGACAGTGCATATCTTGATATATCTTCACAATGAATATTAGAAAAATTTAAAAAATAATTTCCAACTTGATAGATGAACAATGGTATTTTTAAATTATTTTTAAAAGGTATTTGTCTAATTACTGAAGAGACTGGCATTTTTTTAAATCATATTTTTTACCATTGGTAATTTTTCTTTTATTAATTGTTCATATCCTCTGCACATTTTTCTGCTAGGATTTAAGAAATTTTCTTATGGATTTATAAAATAATTACTTATATATTAAGGGTATTATTAAATTTGTTTTAAATATTTTATCCCAGTTTGCTATTTATCTTTTATTTATGGTAGATTTTTGATAAATGGAAGGATTTTTAAAATGTGTTTTTACCATTTAAATAGCCAACATTATCAATTTTTATTTTTATGATGTTTTCCACTACTTTTACCCTTAAAACCCTCCCCCATTACAGACACTGATGGTCACCTATATTTTCTTCTCTTTTAAATTTTTACTTTACATGTAATTGTTTAATCTATCTGGAGTTTATTTTTACAAGTAAAGTAAGAATCCAAGTAATTTTCCTTCAAATAGTTAACTAACTGACCCAATCCAGTTGACTAAATTATCCTTTCTTCATTGATTGAGATGGCACTTTTTTCAGGCTTTATATTTTTATGTATGCTAGATTATTACCAGTTTTGACTGGAATTAGATTAAATCTCTGAATTAGTTTAGGAAGTATTAATATCTTTATAACATCTTCAGTTCTTAAGAATATGTCTCTCCAATGAGTCAAGTCCTTTATGTCTCCCAATAAAGTTTTGTAGTTTCTGTCATATAAATTTCTTCATAAAGATTCTTAACTATTTATGTTTTTTGTTTGCAACTGTGAATGGAATTTTTCCATTATATTTCAGAAACAATATGTATGAAGAAACTGTATTAATTTTTGTATATTTATTTCATATCTGGCTACTTTACTCTCTTATTTATAACATCTAAGATTTTTTAGTTGATTCTTTTGAATTTTCTAGGTTCACAATCATATCGTCTACAAATAGAACTTTGTGTCCTCCTTACTAACAGGTGTACTTGTTTTTGTGTGTGAGAATTTCTTCCTGAACAAAGACATACAGAAGGAGAGAGACAGGGCCTAACAGATAAGAATTTAGAAGCATGGAGGGTCACCTGAACAAAAGGCTCAGAGGCAATCAGGGTCCTATAATAGGGATAATAAACAGAACTTACAGTACTATCACAACAGGGAATAAAATCCAGAAGCAGGCCTTTCTATTGAAACAGAGAAGATCACCAAAGGATTTGCAAAAGGAGAATGCTCTTTATGTAAGACGATTTTAATCCTGACTTTAGGATGAACAAGGAGAAGTATGGAGTTGGAAGGTAAGTGAGAAATAATGGTACATAAATGAGGTAAACAGAATCTGTAAGAGAGTTTTTACATACTGCGTAAAACTACGTAGAGGGTGACCAACTATGATCCCATTCATACGACTTTCTCAAAAAGACAAAATCATAGGGATGGAAAACAGGTAAGTAGTTACCAGGAATTATTAGCAAAGGAGAATGACCATAAAGGGACAACATGGGGGAATTTTGGGGGGTGAGGTAAACGTTCTGTATCTAGATTTTGGTGGTGGTTACATGAATCTATACATGTGTTAAAATTCATAAAATTGTACACCAAAAAGTCAGTTTTACTTCTTAATAAGTAAAAAAACAGACAAAATATCTTATAATACTTACACTCTATCATGCATATTTGGATTATTGTTCATTCTTTAATGCAATTCTATGCAAGATGATAGTCATGTGTTCATCAAAGTTTCTAAAATTTAGGGGTTTTTTTTTATGAACATTACATACAAATTGTTCTCCTTCTACAAATGTTTTAAAATCTAAATTCAAATCTGAAAAAAATTAACAATTTCTCAATATCATATTTATTGAACAGATGTCTGATCTGTTCAATAATCAGCTTGCTGCTTAAAAAAAATTCAACACCAAAAACTATTCATCTTTCTATCTGTAGAAAAGACTGAGAATGAGGAATCAGAACTACAACCTTAGCTTTGCAAACATATCTATATAGTAGGATATTAATTCTTGCCATCTTCAGTCCAAAACAAGGACATTCCTGTTTGCAACTGAAAAACTGTGAGATTCTACATTATTTTTATTATTATTTTTTCCCTTTCATGTCAGATGGGTAATGTGCCGATGTTGTCACAATGGCTGAGGGGGGCACATCTCACACAATAGTGTGAATCCCCATCATCATGCTTACGAACTACAAAAGGATCTACGTTATTTTTAAAAGACATTTTAATTCAAGGTTGTCTACCAATACAGCATGAAACAAAAAGCTGCTATAATGTATGAATTTTGCTGTGAATGTGCCTTATGTTGCCACTGGAGTCATGACTTCCTTCTCAGTCCAACCTCAAAAATCATCTATGTGCAAGGGAAGCCAGAGACAATAAGAACACTGTGTTAGATTAAATGATCACAGGAGCAATCTGTCCTAAACATAATTCAGTACAATTCTGGCCTTTTCAGAACCTTACTAATCTCGTGACCTGTCATCAAGTCCCTTCCACCAACCTAGTCAGTACAATAACATCAATTTTTACAGGCGTCTTACTTAAATAAAGGCAAGTTCTTATAGCAATAAATTAGGAATTAGGTAAGGAGGATGTCAAGATTAATGTTCACAGATTAACATAGCTGAATCATCAATAAACCCTTTCCCAAAGAGTTTAAATTTCCACAATGCAAGCCTCTTCAGTTCACTGGCTTCTAGCTCTGCAAAGTCTTCCCCCATAGAAACAGAGCTGATGCTGTTGAGCCCCTGGCAACAGCCTTCAAAACAGCTGTTCTATATTTAACTAGTGTGACCTATATGCAAGTGTTCATCTCTGTCAGCCTGGACTGTCCAGAATCACAGAGGTGATGCTTTTCTTTATTATGCAACACATAAAACCTTCCCTGGGGTCGTTAGCTGAATATATCAAGCCACTTCTGGATGTAAGGATTGAGAAAGGTGTAACTGCAAAGACTGGCTATGATTAATATCTACCTAGAAAGTCTCTGACAACTCAGTTTTATCATTAATAGTGTCATATTTAAACTGTTTGCAAGTTTAAAGACAGCACCAAAGACATCTTTGCAGCCATGTGGAAACTATCACAACAGATTTTATAAAATGCTTCTTTATAGGGCATTGTAGCTCACCTGCACCTAGAGTTTAATCCTCAGTATACCATTAGGGTCCATTAGACACAACTTCACTTTTTATGTTTCTCTGTTGAGCACTTTTAACTGTTTATAAAGATAGATATCTCAAGAGTTTTTTCTTTCTTAGAAGTCTTCCACAGAACAAAAAGGAAAATATATTTTAAAAAATAGAATAAAACTCATTCTAACTTGCAATTACCATATGGGTCCACTGGATCTTTTTTATAGATCTAAGATCTATATGCTATTTCAATATTCTAGAAATTACGTCATCATTACTCATCAATTATTCCCAACAATGCTAAGATTAAAATAATAAGAAAATGCAAGAATGATGAAATTGCTTAGAAGAATGATGCAATAGTGAAATAAATATCACTATGACATCATCCTTCAGTTTTCTTATTGTGTTGCCCAAAGTTCTGTCTCACCTTTCAAGAAGGTATAAAAGAAGTCTGGAGACACCATCTACTTTTGCCTGATTCGAGCTTTAATTGAACACAATTGACAAGTCAGATTTTTTAATTTCCTGGCCATAATGGCAAAGAAAACAAAATTGACAGAGGAAGATATTTCACAATTATTAGATGAATCCAAAGTTAAATGCAAAGCATGAGATAGCAGCACTTGAGACTAATGAAGATGGTGAAATTTATCATTATAAGTAAAATCTCAGACTATGTGCCTTCAGATGATGCTATCTTACATAAATTTTCTCAAATTCAAGAATGAATGAAAAATATATTTCTAAGGACAAAAAGAAAATAGAGCATTTTTATACAATTACTTATTCAACAAAAAGTCTTCACTGTACAATACTTTGTGACAAGAAACTAGGCCATCTCATTTTTCTAAAAGGACACACGACAGTATTCTTTCATGTTTTTATTTCACTTGTGCATCAAAATTTCCTTGATATAGTTTCTAAGTTAGACAGGTGCTGAAGGCTGGTATCAAAGAGATGACCAGAAGAAACAGATGATAAAGACATTAAAAAATTTGATTGACTATTCTAAAAGGTGTATATAAATCTAAAAATAAAAAAATGTTTTGCAATTATGGAGCTTTTTGTGACCATCCTCTCTTCAACAAAATTATGAGCCAAGGATTTAAAAAAAATTCTTCAAGTATTGTGTCTTGACAATGCAAGCATAAGAAGAGGAACCAGGGGCCTGGCCCCATGGCCAAATGGTTGAGGGTGTGCACTCTGCTTCGGCGGCCCAGCGTTTTGCAGGTTGGGATCCTGGGCACCAGCTTAGCACCACTCATCAAGCCATGCTGAGGCGGCGTCCCACACACTATAACTAGAAGGATCTACAATTAAAATATACAACTATGTACCGGGGGACTTTGGGGGGAAGAAGAAGAAAAAGACTGGCAATAGATATTAGCTCAGGGCCAATCTTAAAAAAATTAAAAAAAAAAAAAAAAAAGAACCAGAGGCAATGATAAGCTAGAATGTATTACAGATGTATTTGAAATTTAGAATAAGTATGTTCAAGTTCATGCATGACAAGTGATGAACAGTTAGTTACATTCAGAGGTTTCTGCTAATTTTGGTTATATATATGTGTGTATATATATGTATATGTATATATGTGTGTGTGTGTGTGTCTGTTTAAAACCGGGAAAATATGAAATAAAAATTGTTTGCTATATTTAAGCTCTTATTAAATAATTGCATAGTCTTTCACTTCCTTTTATTCTTACATTCATAAATTATTTGTAAAATAACTTTAAAATAATTTTTAAAGAGAGTTCTTTCAACCCAGATAGTAAATGGTGATGACTATTTTTCTTGGTATATAGTATGTTAAAAAGATACTCGAGGCAGGAAATATTGTAGTATTAAGGATGACCTGTAAAACTGAACTGCTTCTGGGACTGTCTGAAGAGTTGAGATCGGTTATTAGACTTGCACCAATCCAACAGGAAGCATGCCTGCTAGAACCCATGTGGCTGAGATGGCCGAGACCGGAACATGAACAAGAACTTAACGGGATGCAAGGAAGCAGGGGAGAAAACTACCTTGTGTAAAACTGAACCAATTAAGCACCCAAGAGCAGACTTGAAGCATTAAAAGGGTTGTTATAATGGCAATGTTTAAAATTTATTTTTACCGTCAACAAAACTATGAAAAAGTAGGAAATGACAGGGTAAATTAGATTTAGTTAAGCTTACTAGATTAATATATATATTTGATGTTATTATGTTTCTGAGTGTTACTCATATTGATCCATGTAAATCTGTTGTTCATTTTAATGTTTGTAAGATATACCATTTCCTACTGAGGAAGAATCAAGATGTTTCTACTTTTTCCCCATTACAAATAGTGCAGCAATGAACATCCTGGTACACGTCATTTTATGCACAAGTGCAAGAGTATTTCTCCAGGGTTGCTGTCTTGAAGTAGAACTCATAGGTCACGGGGTTTGGGCATCTTCATTTTTGTAAGATGATGTCAAATTAATCCATAAGATATCACCCACTTGGTATATTCTTCTAATTTATACATGCTATGATTAGTAATGTACATGAGGCCCTGTTTCTCCACAACTTTTACTGTTACTAGTCTTTGTAAATTTTACCAGGTTGTTTATAAAACAATGTCTCCTATCATGCATTTTCCTGAGCATCTTTTCATTTGCTTATCTTCAGTTGGAGTCTTCCTCTGAAAACTGCCTGTTCACATCCTTTGTCAGCTTTTTTTTAAATTGTGTTTGTGTTTTTCTTACTTATTACAGAGAATTTACTATAGAAGATGCCAATTCTTTGTGGATTATATGCTTTGCAAATATCTTCTCTAGTTTAAGAGATTTGTATTTAGTGTAATTTGTAAGACAGAATTTTCTTTATATTAATGTAGCCAAATTAATATTTTTATCTTTTACGGATTTGATTTCTATATCTTAATAAAGAAATTCTTCCCTAGAGTCAATTCTTAAAAGATTTTTGTTTACTTTTCTTCTAAAAATGTTTTCTCTTGTAAGTTTTAGTTTTGTTTTTTGCAAATCCACTTTGCAATTCTGTATGATATGAGATAGGGACTGCATTTTATCTTTTTCCAAACAGAGGGCCAAAGATGAAATGGCTTATTCTTCCCCCTCTGATTGGCAACCTCACTTTTCATATAGCAAGCTCTTTCTGTGCTCTATTCTGTTTCCTTGGTCTGTTTTTGTGAGTATATATTATTGTTCTCATTTACGACAGCTTTCCAGTAAGTCTCGATATCTGATAAAATAAGTCTTCATTATTCTTCAGAATTTTCATGGCTCTTCAAGAATCAAAAAAAAAATTAGAATCAAGCTGTCAAATTTCAAAAAAAAACGCTGTTAGACTTGATTGGAAAAGCACTGAATTTACAGATTAATATCAGCAGGAACTGTCATTTTTATGATATTGTGAGTATTCCCACACATGAACATGTTCTATCTTACCGTTTATTAGCTCTTGAAAAATATTTTCAAAAATGTTTATAATTTTCTCCTTTAATTTTCCTATTCAATTTAATCCTAGGTACTTATCATTCTGACTGCTGTAAGCGAATTTTTTTTTAAGTTACATTTTCAGTATCTTCACATTTTCTTTGAGTCTTATGATTCCTTTCTCGCCTTTTAAAGTATTTGAGTTTTCTTTATTCCTTCCCCAGTTCCTCCTCATGCTTTCGGAAAGCTTGAGAGTTATACACAATTTTCACATACACATTTGACAAAGTTTTATGTTAATTAACATTACCATCTTCTTTCCAAATAACACAAGGATCTCACATGGATTTAATCCACTTCCCATATGTTTTGTTCCATATTTTAGTTCTATCCTTAAAAAAAACCCATATTTATCATTATCCTTGTTGTTTTATACAGTGAATGCTTATTAAATTTACCTTTGTTAAACTTTGGGAAGTATGGCACACATAGAGGGAGAGTTCACAAAATGTGAATGCATGCCTCAATGAATTGACTTGAAATTAACATTCACATAACCATAATGAGAAACAGAACAGTGTCAGCTTCCTGGGAACGCCTCCTCACCCTTCCCCAACACCCCTCCCCAACCATTCCCCATGGGCAACCACAGTCTGATTTTTACAGTAATTCTCACTTTCTTTTATAGCTTACCAACTAAGTATGCATCATTAAACACTATACTTTAGTTGAACTTTATAGAAATGGAATCATACAGTATGTATTCCTTCTTGTCTGGTTTCTTTTCCTCAGTATTTAGCTGTGAGATTCACAACTGTGTATAACCATAGTCTGTTTATTTTTATTACTGTGTAGAACTCCACTGTATATTTATATGACAATTTATCCATTTACTGGATATAAAATTCTAAGTTGACACTTATTCTCTTTAAGCTCCTAAAAAATGGCATGCAACTGATTTCTGGTTTCCTTCATTCCTGTTGAGAAGACAGTTGCCAGCTAATTGTTACTTATTTTAAAGTAATCTTTCTTTTTTCTCTAGCTGCTTTTAAGATTTTTCTCTTTGTTTTCGGTTTTCAGCAGTTTAACAATGATATCTGTAGGTGTAGACTTCTTTGCTATTTCTCTTGCTTAAGGTTCACTGTACTTCTGGAATCTAGGAATTGCTGTTCTTCATCAGTTTTAGAAAGAAAGTTCTAAACTCTTTTCTCTTCAAATATTGCTTTTGCCTCATCTTCTTTCTCCTGACTTTCTGGAACTTTAAATATATACACTAGACCTTCTCAAAGTATTTTTCCTCTCTCTTCATTCCTTTCATCCTTTGTTTCTGGTTATCTTCACCTAACATCTTCAGTTCACTAATTCTCTCTGTGGATGTGTCTAATCTGCTGCTTAAATCCATGCACTTGAGTTAATTTCAGTTACTGAATTTCTCATTTCTGGAATTTCCACTTGATATTTTTTTAACAGTTTCTGGTGCTCTGACAAAATTCTCAATCTTGTCTCAATTTTATCTCCTTGAACATGTAGGGGATTGGAAGTGGCCACCCCAAGATATGTCTCTTTGGCATGATGATTATTTCGGGCTGGTTACTTTTAAAAACTGCAGACATGAAAGAGACTCTGACAAGTAGAAGTTACCCTTTGTAAGAGATATTTATATTTCTAAGGGAAATCTCCATCTGTAAAGGTGTCTCCTTCTTTGTACCAGGAAGAAGGGGGGATAACCTTATCTCTAAATACTCTTATCAATGCTGAAGGCAAGGACTTAAATCTGCATAATAACCTTACTCTTGCTTCCTGTACTTTTCTGGTAATCTCCCATAACTGACTCCCCCCAACCTTAACATCCTCCTTTGCAGCTGAAGATGGTATTTAAGAGGAGAACCTCCACCATTTTGGTGAGTTGCTCAGTATTCCTGAGTCTCTCCCATGTATACATATTATAAAGCTTTGTTTAATTTTCTCCTGTTATTCCATCTCATGTGAATTTAATTTGTAGCCCAGCCAGAAGGAACTCAAGTGGGTACAGGAAATGTCTTCCTCCCTTACAAACATGATAAGCACAGTTATTTTAAAAGTCTGTATCTGAGAATTCCAATATCTGAAGGCCCAATTTCTATTATCTTTTGTTTCTCTTTGTTTATGTTGTTTATGTCTTTGTGCATCTGATTGCTTTTGTTTATAAATAAGACACTACATTTGCAAACTACAGGAATAATCTGTGGCCCTGCATAGTATTACCTTTCTCCAGGAGGGATCTACAATTCTGCCAGATGTCTGTGGGCACCAATCTAATTTTAGAGAATGATATGACTCAAAGCCGACCTGCAGCCTCTGGAAGAGCATGTCTAGTTTAGTTAACCCTTGCTCCTATGGTGCAGCCCTTCAGGGTCTCAACTCAAAATGAGGCATGTTCATCAGGTATCTCTTCTCTGTGGGCCATGGGCTCTAATCTCTGTCCCGCTTAGGCCCACTAGCCTGTCAAAACGGCTGCATAGCTGTTTAGCAGCTCCCTCCAGAAAAGCCTAATATCTCCAGAGGAACACTGACCCCATACACTAGGACCTTTTTTTCTGGGACCCCGTTCTCCTCCTAGATCTTGTAAGCTCTTTGAAGCCTTCAAGCAAAAAATTTTAAAATACTTTGTTGAGCTTTTCTGATAGTCTTCAGTGGCAGGCACGATTCAATTTACCCCATCTGCTACTACCAGAAGTAGAAGTCCCAGATTTTACCTTTGGTTTCAACAGTTCCATTGCTCATCATTGTTTCTTGCATCCACTGTTTCCTTCTGGGTTCAATTTCCTTCAGTCTCAAGTACATCCTGCATCACAATCTTCTAGCAAACACCTGTGACTAGTTAATTCTACTAGCCTCTGCCTGAAGAGATGTCTTTATTTCACTCTTATTCCTGAATGAGAATTGAGCTGGGTATAAAACTTTAAGTTGACAGCTATTTTCACTTAGCCCTGTGGAGATATTACTCTACTATTTTCTATTATCTCTTGCTCTTGTTGAAAAGTTTGCTGTCAATGTAACAGCATCTCTTTGTTTGTCATCATCACTTCTTTTTTGCTGATATTAAGATGTTTCTCTTTTTTCTTTGGCATTCTCCAGTTTCACTACAAAGGGTCCAGATATAAATTAATTTTTACTTATCCTATTTGGGCTCATAGTGACCTGAATCTGAGTATTTATGTTTTTTATCAGTTCTAGAAAATTCTCAGCCATTCTTTCTTTGAATATTGCCTCTATACTATTCTTTCTATTTGGACTTCCCATTTTAACTCTGTTATCTCAACTTCTCTTGCATATTTTCCATCTCTTTATCTCTCTGTGCTAAATTCTGAATGATTTCTAATCTGTTGTTTTGTTTATAATTTGTTTATCATTTCTCTCTTCGGCTGAAACTGATTAGCTTATTTAAAGTTTAACCTAGTTGCTGACCTTTAAGTTTTGAGGTCTACATTTTCCATTTCTTGAAGTTATTTTAGCTTTCCCTCTGAGAATCTCTTGGGGCCAGGACTATTGTAGTATCCCTTGGGGTTTCCTTATATCTGACAACCTGATGGTATCATTAGCCCAGGATTAATTTTTAAATTAATTTCTCAGCTTCAGAGCCCCACACCACATAGGTGGGTGTGTGTGTGTATAATTTTTTTTTCCACATCCTAAATAGCATGAGTCAAGGATCCAGGGTTTAGAATTCCCATGGGAGATGCCCCAGCTTCTACTCCAGAACCCAGGCAGATAGTTAAATGTTTTCGTTATTTCTCTGTGTTGGTAGGCAGATATTTTCCAGTCTACTCTTTTCATTTAGGACACAATCCCTTTGAAGGTTCCAGTTCCTAGTCTATACGTTAAATGGGTTCAAGAGATCACTTTCTACCCCCTAGTGGATGCTAAAACCTAAACTCATATATTACCAAAACCAAAAGCTGTAGCTCAGATCTTTACCACTGTAATTTCCAGTTTCCTTTTCACTTCTGGAGATTTCCTTTTCTTTCCTGAGAGCTCAATTATGCATTTACAATGATTTTAGTTATATTTTACCCAGCATTTGAAAGTGTAGCAGAAGAAAGGTTTTTAGGTTACCTAGTCTACTGTATTGCCAGAACCAGGAATCCTATGGCATTGTTTTTAAACTTTGTGTCAATGAAATAAATGTTAATATTAGTTAAGGTTCTCCAGGGAAACAGAGCCAATAAGATGGAGATATATATATACATATATATAGCTCTAGATGGATAAAACCAATTGGTCACCTAAAAATGGATATCTAGACATACAGCTACATAGATCTATCTAACTATATATAGAGATTGATTGATTGATTGATTATAAGGAACTGGCTAACACAATCATGGGGCTGACAAGTCCCAAGGTCTGCAGTCAGCAAGCTGGAGACCCAGGAGAGCCAATGGTGTAGTTCCAGTCCAAAAACCTGTAAGCTCAAGATCCAGGCAGAACTAATGTTTCAGTTTGAGTCTGAAGGCAGGAAAAAACTGAGATCTCAGCTCAAGACAGTCAGACAGGAAAAAAATTCCCTCTTACTCAAGGAAGGGTCAGCCTTTTTGTTCTTTTCAGGCCTTCAACTGATTGGCTGGGGCCCACCCACATTAGGGAGAGCAATCTGCTTTACTCAGTCTACTGCTTCAGATAGTAATCTCATCCAGAAACACTCTCATAAACGTACCCAGAATAATGTTTGACCAAATGTCTGGGCATCCCATGTTCCAGTCAAATTGACACACAAAATTAAGCATCACAATTAGTAAACTCTGATTTGATTTTTAATTTAATTTTTTTCTAAGACCCAAATTAAGCTTTTCTTTGAGACCTAACAACTCATACCTGTCATTCTGCAAGTGAGCTGACTTGGTGGTAAGTAAGCTAGCTTTCTACACATGGACCTTGCGTATACATAATTCTACAAGTCCCTTTATGGATTTAATTTCCCCCTTTTCCAAAGGATAAATGAGTTCAAGTCTCTGGAAGTAATGTGAAATAAAAGCGTCACTTCAAAACATATTCACGATCTGTTTTTGCAAAATCTTTAGCTTATACAATCATCCCTCTTTGTATTGTGAACATGTGGATAATGACATCTGCTCACATCATGTAAATCCCCCATAATCCCTGATTCAGTGATATACATAAACTAGGTACTAAATAAATTTTACCTGCAAGTTTTTCAAAATATAGATCACAGTAACAAGTTTTCCACCACAACTCTGGATTTCCTTCCCCATATAAGTGACAAACTTTTACTAAATTATGTTTATATTAACATTACCCTCCTTTGCTCCTCTTCAGCATCAGCAAAGAGTTTACGAATGTTAGCCTCTGATTCTCCCACATATTTGTTAAGGATTTCTGGCCCATTGACCACTTTGGGCTCTCTTGCATTCAACATCTTGCCAATCTGTCGAGCCAACAGAGTCTTACCACAACCTGGGGGCCCATATAACAGGATGCCTTTAACATGTTTGCAACCTAAAAAGGAAAAGAAAACAGTCTTACACCAACTAACTAAAATCCAAGTATGACATCTAAAGGAAAGTTTTCTTTCTTCTTCATATTCACTTCAGGAAAAACACAATCATGCCATTAACACATATTAATATCCAGGTGCCATGAATAGAACAAGAATGAACAACAGAAGCTCTTTTTAAAATAGAAAATCCAGAAAAAATTCCTACACCAGTACTAATATTTGAGGGGGAAAAGCTGCCAACTAAAGGTCTTTGGAAAAGTATATTTAAACTATCATTTAGAACAAATACTTTTAACTTTGAAAATGTCTCTTTGACCTAAATACCTAATCAGGAACTACTACTTATTTTTCATTATCCTTTGCTTTAAGGTCAGAGAAAAAAAGAGATCTGTCTTTAGGCAAATTTAATCCAACACAAACCTGTTATGATACGGCAGGCTACGGAAACTATATCTTAGTCATAGAAATTACAGGTCTACCTGTCAATACAAGCATTTGAAGAAAGGGCAGACACGTCTGAGATAGATGAGTATAGAACAATCCACAGGATACAGATGGATGTTACAGACTTTGTGGATGAAGCTGAATGTCTTATTTCATGTGACTAATGCCAAGCGAGGCACATGCTTTCTTCAGAGCCACCCAGATGAAGATGAGGTTTTGAAAGAATAGCATTCAATTCTTTTCTAGGCAAGCATTGCTAAATGCCTTAAAGGTATCATTAACAACAGCGAAACAGCAGGACTGATGACTTAGACTCCTCAGGATTTCTTTAGCCAACTCCACACAAGCATTTACTTCATTTCTTAAGATTAAGATAGCCTGTGGTTTCTGTTTACTCACTCTGGGAATTCTCACGTTTCTAGCAGTTTCACACTTAAGATGCATGACTCTTTTATGAGTTTTTTCTTTAAACTACACCAAAAAAGCACTCTGTGAAATAATGAATTATTAGATTTCAGTGTTACACTTGAAATTACAGGTGAAAAGAAAATTTCTGGAAATGGAATATAAATAGTGTGTTTTTTATGGAAAATAGTTTGTCCTCATTTGGAATGAAAGCCTTAAAAATTATATCTTTTAAGAAAAAATTATGACAATACATTTAATAACTCATGTGAAAGAAATCCCAAGATACAACTAACTTTAACAGAAATTTTAGATTCTGAAGAGGAAGAACCTTTGAGTTGCCAGTAAGATCACTGCTTCTATCTTGATGTCAAGAAGACTCTCTTTCAAATCCTTAAAAGTAATGAGATCCGTGCCTATGGTTAGGCTTGTAGAGACAAGGGGAACTAAGTGTAAACCCTTGACAGCTTAGAGTCTTAACCCTTCTCATCAGAGTAAATTCCTGTCCTAAGAACGGTAGCCCAGTAAAATGTCCTGCCCTTAACCCACTCTTGGAGCATGAGTGAGTGGTAGGGAGATAAGGGGATAAGCTTTGAGCTTCTCCAAGAGGACAATACCATCAAGCACAGCCAGCGTCCAAGCCCTGGGACACATCTGACAAGGACTTTGGAAACTGGCTCCTAATCTTCCCTTCCAAGTCAATAGCTATCAGGATTTGAAATTACTCATATGCACCATAGCAGAGGCAGATGGCAGTGGTAGTGGTGGTGGTGAAACAAGCACAAGGACGGGGAGATAGAAAGGAGAAAATGAAGACTCGCTGCGCACCTACAAAGTACCGGCCTTATCCTCTTCTCCAGTTTCTTAACTTTCTCCAAGTTTAACAACTTCCTCCTATTTGTACTTCTTTCCATTTAAGCCATACTTTCTTTCAAGGACTCTCAACTCGTTGGCCATTTTTTTTTTTTGAGGAAGATCAGACCTGAGCTAACATCTGCTGCCAATCCTCCTCTTTTTGCTGAGGAAGACTGGCCCTGAGCTAACATCCCTGCCCATCTTCCTCTACTTTATATGTGGGACGCCTACCACAGCATGCCTTGCCAAGCGGTGCCACATCTGCACCTGGGATCTGAACCAGCAAACCCCGGGTTGCTAAAGCGGAACGTGCGCACTTAACCGCTGCACCACTGGGCTGGCCCCATCCTTGGCCTTCTTGTACTTCTCTTATACCAATCCCACGAGGCCTGAACACAATACGGCTTTCCTGCACCTATACACTGGCCACAGAGCACGGCCAGAGAAAATGCCGTCACTGTGCCGACCGGTATCTTCAGTTTCATTCAGTTTCATGCTGACCAATTCCAGTGCTACTCTCACTGCTTTCTCAATACTGCATGCCACCCTTTACTTGTTTTTGTTAGTTCCTCTCCCATTCTCCTTAGCAATTATCCAGATCTTCACCTTCTCTTCTCAAGCGCTACCCCATGCCATTCATTCTTAGAGACGATCTAGATTCCTACTTCGCATATTTAAAAACAAAGACTATCAGGTATGACCTCCCTTTAGCTCCCTGCTCCTCTATCTACAAATTTATCTGCAGATACATTCACTCTCAACTTCAGCACTAGTTCTCAAAGGAGGAGTTTCCTTCCTCTTCTCCAAGGTTTAAACTGCAATTACGTGTTTGTATACTTCCTTCTCTACTAGACTGGGAACCACTCAAGGGGAGGCGCCACATGTATCATCAATCCTGAATCACAAACACCCAGCATAATGCCTAGCACATAATATGCACTCAATAAATGGGTGAATAAGTAAATTGTTGATTCTTTTCCTACAAAACCCAAAGAAAATGAGGGAGAGAAGACTGTCTAAAAAAATTACTTAAAGCTCTTAATTTATTGAACACTGTTTCCTTTCATAGCTGAACTAATTTAAATACCCTAAAAACACACTTACAATGACTAGGACTTCACAAATTTAACAAACTGGTGATATATAAATGCTAGATATAGAAATGATATATAAATACACGATATATAAAGATTAGAACCTTAACTCTGTAACTCTGTTTTTGTATGTGGAAAATGCTCAATTTAATGTGTTTTGAATAAATTGACTCAGATCTTCTAAAATAAATAATTCACAAAATATTACCATGAAGTTTGAAAGAAAGAGATAAATACATATCCATGGCACTTGTTACATATAATACAGATCTCTGAAATGACAGATCTATTCAATATACATCAACGGGAACGTCACAGAAGCTCTAGTTTGCATTAGAACTATAATTCTTTTAGGATCGCAAGAAAACACATCAAAAATATACACTGACATGTCAAGATTTTCAAAATCCACTTCCACAAAGGAAGTAGTTACTTGAATAAGCTGTGGAAACGGGACTTTGTTATTACTATTATAGCCTATTCTGACTTATTAAATAAGCATTGGTCTCTAATTTTAAATGACTCATAAAAACTCTTCATAAGTAATTCCATTCAACAAAAGTGTACTAAGCTCCTGTTTGGACTAGGCACGAAATAGGTGTTAGGGATACAAACATGAAAAAGGCAGTCCCTACCTGCAGGGCATTTCTGGTTTAGTAGAAAAGACAGAAACAAAAATAGGTTATCTACAATATATTATGACATTATCAGAGAGATGTGTGAAATGTTTTTGGAACCTAGCCAAGAGAGACTGCTTCTGTCAGGTTGATGGCAGCACATGAGGGATGGACACAGGGGAAGAGGTAACATTCAGTCTTGGCCTTGAAGGACAGGAGGCTCCTGGCTGGGCAAGGGAGAGGAAACGGCACCTAAAGAGACAGACTAGCATGATCAAAGGCACAGAGGTATGGATGTAGAAGCTGTCCTCTCAAAACAGCCAGTAGCAACCTGTTGTGGCTGGAGCCTTGGAGGAAAGGAAAGGGGAGTGCCTGGAGATGAGGCTGACAGATTCTCAACTATGGAAGGCCTTCACACCACACCCAGGAGTTTTTCATTTGTTTCATAAAACCCCTGAGGTTTTTAATGAGGGAAGGTGCACAATAAGATTTGTGTTTAAAAACTAACTCTGGGGGTAGAGTGGAGGAAGGACTAGAAAACAAAGAGGCAGAGGGTGGTAGTCTAGTTGGAGGAATGTTCTCAATCTTTTTCTGGGGACACTGCCTCACTGGCTGGCTCTGCAATTGACCAATTAAGCTTTCATATCACTCCAAGTCCTTTGGAAGCGGAGGTTCAGAGGCCTCACGAGGACACTTCCCTACTGGTGCCCCTGCTGATGCCCCAGCTTTCTCCTGAGCTTCTCCAGGACATTAAAGCACGACTCTGATGTTAGGGAATCTCTGATCTCTGGCGGCTGGACTGTCTGACTGCTGAACTGCATTGATTGCTGTTACTTTTTTTTCCTCTATGTCTTACATGCCCCCTCAGTACTCAGAGATCAGTGCCCTGGGTTAGGGAACTAAATAGCAAGGGAAGGCATGGAAAAAGGAGAAATCAGTGAAACTGACTCGTGTAAATTGTCATATTCTCTCATTCTCTCTCTCTCTTTCCCATGGAATAGTCAGTCAAATGTGCCTCCCCAGAACAATGCACATGTACCAAAAATCTGCATGTAATTTTGAGGGAATTCTTAGATCTTCTGAGGTCCATTCATGGAATCCAAAATTAAAAACTACTGAAATAATCCAGACAAGAGACTAGGAATCGAAAGAGGTAATAGGTGTAGGAAATAGTAGTAAGAAAAGAAAGGAAGATGTGGGAGAGATTCATGAGAGCTTAGTGACCAAACGAAAATAAGAGAAGGAGAAGAGTCAAGGATGACCTTAAGCTATCCAGCCTGGGCACACAGGTAAAATGATGACAACCTCAGAAGGTAACCAAGAAGATGGCAAGAGGAGAGCAGAGGAAATCATAACTTTGGTTTTAGCCCCAAGGCATTCAAGATTCCAGCAGTAATGTCCATTAAAAAAACAGGCTGAAAGCTCAGAAAAGCTATCAGGACAACTGGTTCAATATTTTTGAATGCCTGCTTTGGGCACAAGAAAAGCCACAAAAAGTTTTAAGCAGAAGAATGTGACAACAGGGACCCATGCTGCACAGAGAGAGGATGAGGCCTGGAAAGAGAACACTAGATTTAAAAATCA